GGCGCGAGGAACAATTTCGTTCGCGCCAAGAGTTTGTCGGTGTTACCGGCGGACATGCCCGTACGTGAAGATCCTGGCGATATGGTCGTCAAGTACGCAGACGGCAAGCCACGGCGACTTCCGTGGCGCTTGGTCACCTTCTCCTACGAGTTCGATGGATTCCAGGGAACGGATGACTTTCTGGTGATTGAGTTGAGTGGCTCCTTTGACTGTGTGTTCGGGATCCCGTGGCTCGCTCGTCACCAACCTCACATTAACTGGCTCACCCGAACTTTCCACCTGCGTGACATCAACGTAAACGCTGCGCTAACCTCCTTGAGCGGGATGCCTAACACGTGGCCGCATGTTGCTGTCATGGACCCGGCTCCATGACCACCACTGCTCCCGAAGAGCGCGATGGCCCTTCTTGTGTAGCTTGTGAACGCGCAACATATACCAGTCCTGAGGTGGAGTCTCAGGACATATCTGACGCGGTCGAGCATGAGTTTCCCGTGTCGCCGTGAGCAACGACTTCCTGATGAAGACGTTGTAGTTGAGAATGGCCTCCTACACGCGGTTGAGCATGGATTCCCGCGAGTAGTCGAGCAGGAACTCTCACACGCAGAAGACGGTGTTGAGCGTGGCCTCCCACCAGCGGTCGAGCGCGTGCTCCCGCGTGTGGTCGAGCCTGGAGAAGAAGTCACGGTCGACTCGAGTGTCACGGTCGCCTCGAGTGTCCCGTGCCTCGGCGCCGATACCGAGCCCCGGCGCCCAACCCCTGTTGACACGATCGAGCATGGTCTCTCGTTCTCTGCTGTGCCCGGAGAACAACGTCCGGTGCGTCGTCGCGGTCGTCGGAACCCGCGCCGACCTCGGGCGGCTTCAACAGACTCTGATGTCGTGGAGTTCGAGGTCATCTATGTCCTGATGAGCAACACCACCGATGAGACTACGCGACCCCACAACATCAAGGTCGCACGGTCTCATTGCGACGCGGCTGAGATCGCACGTTTACCTGGGCTGTCGTGGAAACATTTCCTCCGCGATCTCAAACACGGCGAGATTGAGCAAGTCTGCATGGTCGTCGCGGCCGACGCGTCTGCCATCGCAGCCGTCGAAACTGAAGCCGCGACATCCACGTCCGACGGTGCAATACGCCCCAGAGAGGCGGAACCGAAAAGCGCCCGAGTAGCGCGCTATGCCGCCCAATCATTGCCGGCCCTTGAGGCCGCCGGCAACCCCGTTGCTCCTCTTGTCCGCGAATTCATTGACATCTTCCCCGACAAGGTCCCAGCCGCACTCCGACCTTGGTGTCCGGCACGAGATTGCTATCGTGCCCGGCTCGAAGTATTGTGTGAGCCGATAATGGCCACTTCCGCGCGATCAAGTTGAAGCGATCGACACCTTTTTCGAAAGCCGCCGGCTTGCTGGTCACGTACGCGAGAGTCTATCGCCACATTCCAGTCCGACCTTCTGCGTGAAGAAAGCCACTGGCGGTTGGCGCATCGTCCATGCCTTCAACAAGCTCAACGACACCACCATTCCGGCCCAAACGCCGATTCCCCGGAAAATGGTGCTCGACACCATGTCCGGCAGCACCAAGTACAGCGCCATTGGTTTGATGGATGGCTTCTACCAGATCTTGATGCGTGAAGACTACGTGCCGCTGACTGCTGTCAGCACGCCCAGCGGCATGCTCTGGGAATGGCTTGTCATGCCGCAGGGGTTGAAGAATGCCCCTGCCACCTTCAATCGAATGGTCTCGAACATTCTGCGACCATTCCGAGACTTCGCACCCAGCTACTTCGACGATATCTTCATTTACAGTCGTGCCGAGGGCACGACGGACGTGGAAGTACACCTGCGGCACCTTCGTCAGTTGTTCGAGGTGATGCGAGACAACAAGTTGTACGCCAATTTGAAGAAATGCATCTTCTGCGCTCCCGAGATCCCTGTACTCGGGAACAACGTCAGCAAGGATGGCGTCCGCGCGGATCCAGAGAAGGTCGCAGCCATCTGCGTTTGGCCGGCGCCGCAGGATCCGAAGCATCTTCATCAGTGGTTGGGACTTGCGACGTATCTCCACCAATACTCGAAGAACTTCGCGGCGACCGTTCGTCCGCTGTCGCAACTCCTCAAGTCTGAC